GCCCGGGCCCCTGGCCCCCCCGGGAGCCCCCCGCCAGCGCTGTCCCCAGCCTGCAGCAGCCCGCGCCAGGAGGAAGCACTGGAGCAGCCCAGAGCCACGTTGGGCAGGAGGGGAGTAGTGAAGCAGATGCCGAAGGCCTCCATCCAGTGCCCTCCCTGCCGCAGGGGGCTGGGAGCCTCTGGGCCTGGCCAGTGGGTGAGAGCCAGTTTGGGCCGGACGTGGGAAATCCACTGGGCGAGAGTGGACAGACGCAGGACGAGGTGAGAGGGATGGATACTGTCTGGATGGCATGGGGGAGCTGAGCTTTGGGAACCAGCCCTGGGGGCGGGTCAGTAACGCAGCCCCTGGTTTGGGTGCAGGAGCCAGAGGAGGTGCTGCGGCCGGAGCAAAGTGGAGCGGTGGGACACAGCTCGCTGGAGGAGGCAGCCCGGGAGATGACCCCCCTGACTCCTCCCCACTCTCGGTTCCTGCCCTTGTCCTCGGAGAAGGGGAGTGGTGAGAAATCGCCATCAGCAGCGAGCCTGGCTGACTCCAGGACCCAGGGCAGGGAAGGTAGGAGCTTGCATGGGGCTGGGCAGCATGAGCTGGGCTGAAGCCCATGGCATGAGAGCAGCTTCCTCGGTGCTGTCATGTCGTCCCTGCTTGACCCAGGTGTTCTGCATGGGGGAGCCCTGCTCCTGGGAACGGGGTCTCTCGAGGCCGTCTGCCTCCCCCTTTCTGTGCCGACCTGGGGGGTTGGTTCTGCTTGTTTGCACATGGGGGTTTGTGAACTGGGCTGTGCTGGGTGTCTCTAGACACGCAGGCTGCTCCAGAGTCAGTCCCAGGGCCGTCGCTGTACCTCCCGGCACCCTGGGCCTGTGCTGCTAGTCAGCTGGTGTCATGTCCCACCCTGCGGAGTCTGGGAGCCCGGGGTCTGTGCGCTGCAACCAGCTCCCTCTTCTCCCGCAGGCGCCAGCAAGCAGCGTCCCAGCCGAGTGCAGAGCTTAGTGTCAAGCCAGGGCAGCATGGACTCGGATCACTTAGGTGAGATTCCCCTCGGCGAGGGCAGGCAGCGTGGGGCACAGGGCTGGCTGGGCGTTGGGCTCCAAGGTGCCAGCTCCCGCTCTGGAAGGAAGCAAGGGGGGCTGTGTTCACAGGGCCCACGTTTCTGCGGCAGGTTACGATGGAGGGAGCAGTGACTCGGAGTGCGACGAAGCCCTGATGAGCGACCACGACCCCAAGTGCCCCCTGATGCCGGATTTCTGGCTCATTGTGAAGATCCAGCAGGACCGGGTGGAGGTGTATTCTCACACACGGTAACGAAGGTCCTGTGCCAGTCCCCTCTCCACACCCCCTTCCTGTCACTCGCATTGGCCCGCAGACTTCTCCCGCTCTGCCCCCAGTGCCTTTGCTCCCCTCTGTCGCCTGCTCTCAGCCTTGCTTGCTCCTTGCGTCTGCTGTCTGAATCTGGGGCACCCTGGTGGCCCCAGCCCAGCACTGGGGTGTTCTGGTACCAGCCATGTCACACGGGGCCCAGGACAGCACAGCCCCGTCACAACGCTCACGATCTCAGACAAACAGCTGGGCGGTTTGTTCTTAAGCTTGGCAGGGCAAGCTGGGCTAATGCTGCCAATCTCTGTGAGCTGAGCTGGGTGGGGCTTTCTGTCGCTCTGCCCTCCCAGCTGCCCCCAGCCATGGCCGTGGCCAGGGGGATTGGGGCAGGCATCCAGCCTTCCTTGCTAGCACCTCTGCTGCTCCCTCTCTGAAGCCTCACACCCCACTCAGCAGGACTCTGCTCCAGCTCTGTGGCCTCTGCTGC